AGCGGAGCACGCGCACTTAACCGCTAAGCCATGGGGCCGATATAGGTGTATTTTAAATAACACTGAAGTCCCCGTAATTTGCCCTATTAGACGGGCTTGTGTAAAATCAGTCTGACTTCTTGACAGTTCTGAATTTCATGGAAGCAATTGCTTTCAGGCTTGGTGAAGTGAGCAAGGTTTTCCCGTGATAAACTACTAGAGTCTCTCCCGAACACCGTCTCTCTCAGAATGGGACAGCAACATTCTTGTATTTTTACTTACAGTAAACATTACATAATTATATAAATGTACATTTTTCAATGTTTTTAACTAAATCTTCAAAAATTCGGTACTGCTGCTGTTGGTGATGACGAATTGCCAGAAGGAGAAATTAGGTCAGAAAAAATATGTCATATGTAGTATTTTCTTCCCAGTTCTTTTTTGAAAGGTAGAGTGAAAGGAAAAAGGACCAATATCAAAGGCCAGACTTTCTGGTTTCAAATAGATGTTTATTTTGCCCTCCTAGGCTTTCCATGTCAAGTGTTTGGCGAGTTTATGGTGGCATTTTACATCTGTCAGAGATAACAAAAGAAACGCCTTTCTCACAAATAAAAGAGATTATTATTCACCCAAATTATAAAATCTCAGAAGTTAATCATGACATTGCCTTAATAAAACTTGAGGCTCCTCTGAATTATACTGGTACGTAGCATATTTAAGAAGAAGCTTTATAGCTGAATTGTATTGGTTTAATTTTCACATCAATTTGAATGAAAGGGCAGAATCTGGAGAGATTGTCTTTAGTTTCTGGTTGGTGGAGTGGGGGTAAAGGTGAAAATTGCCAGGGGAGATAAAACCTGTGACTTGACATAAAATCTCTTTTACTTAAGGGGCAAGAAATGTTAATTAGTTAATACAAGTGCTTATACATTATTGAATAGACATAGGAAATGTCTGTGCCATCTGGAAAGCATGGCTTCTTTTGACAAGAGAAGCAGAATTACCATTGCTTTGGGCATTGGCATCCTGTCATGCACCGTGTAACAACATTTCAGTCAATGAAGGACTGCATATACCATGGTGGTCCCATAAGATTAGTACCATAAAGCCTAAGTGTGTAGTAGGCTATACCATCTAGGTTTGTGAACATACACTCTATGATGTTCACACAATGATGAAATCACCTAACGATGCATTTTTCAGAACGTATCCCCGTTGTTAAGTGACACATGACTGTGTTAAAAATATATGAGGTCAACTGGGGCCACGTATTAATTTCCAGGTGTAACTTGAGTAGGGAAGAGACTGATCAGAAGGAAGATCTTGGAAGACAGCAGCAGTGGAGTTAGAGGTGTCACCTTTGGAAGTACAATGCTGAACAGTTGCTGAATGCCCGCCGTGTCCATTAATAATTCTGTGACCTCATGCATGTTCCTTTCACTTCTTTGCACCTCTAATTTTCTCATCTGTAAAATGGGCATGATAATTATCCCATTAGTTTCTTATAATAATTAAGTCGGTTAATAAGTTAAAGCACTTAAAATGGTGCCTGAAACAGTGTAGACACTCTGTTATTACTATTAAGGGTATCACAGACAGAATAAGACATAAGAATGCTTCTAAATGCTTTGACACTAAATTTGGGCTCTGAGTTTTAAAATTTAATCCAGAAAATTTAACACCAAAAATATTATGTGAAAATGACTCTGATGGTGAGGAATTTTCTTGAATCATTGACCTCAGAAGTTGAGTAGAACGCAAAAGGGTTATTCGTCTTGGTGCTATTGTATAGAAAGAGAAGACGGGAGAAGGAAAGCATGGATTTTTAAGGTCAAGTTCCACACCTTTATCTAACCAAACTCGAATTTAAAACTTATCTTTCAGAATTCCAAAAACCAATCTGCCTACCTTTCAAAGATGACACAAATACCATTTACACCCACTGTTGGGTAACCGGATGGGGCTTCACAAAGGAAAAAGGTAGACCATGACATTTTAAATGTTCCTACAGCAAGTCTTATAGGTTAAAGTACATGGAAAGGATCAGTTTAATGGGCCTCTATCTAAAATTATATCCAAACTCATGATCTTTCCAATCTATTCATTGTCACATATTTTATTCAGTGATTCTTGATAAGACGTACTTTTGCTTGGGCTTTGAAAAATTTATAACGTAAATTTTTAAGCATCTTACTTTATAATAAAGATCATTCATTTGACTTCACATATAGGATTGGTCCCGTATAGGGCTAACAAGCCCACTGAAGCCCATCGTGTCCTCAGTGTTAATAGTGTTCCCATCTCTCAATGCCATTGTTCTCCCTTGATATTAACGACCAGCGGTGCAGGCAGCCATACCATCTCTCTTTATGGCAGGCTTTTAATAATTTTTTTTCATGTATCCTTCCTGCATGAAAAAAAAATTATTAAAAATCCGATAAAGCCTGTGAACCACTTCTCTAATGATGCTTTTACATGCTTAAATAAAACGCCTAGAATTATAAAGGAAACCAAAGAAATTGCAATACAGTTATCAAAATACTTTTAAAAAGGTGTGATATAGTAATACACATGCTTTTTATTAATGCATTAAATAGCAAGTTGTTCTCATGACTACCATAATGTTGAAATTCTGGTGAGCACAAATGATATTTTCAGTGATCTACCACAACTGTAATGTGATAGGGAAATATCTATGACTTATATTGATGGCAAAGTCACAGGTACTGCTAACCCTCCTGTGTTTTGTGCCTACATTCACAATTAAGGGAAGTGTTAGACTTCAGTCGGAGGTTGGTGAAAATAAAAATGTGTTTTTTTTTTCGTATCCAAGGAAATAATGTGAATTATTTCTATGTGAGTTATTTATATAGAAATAATGGGAATTATTTATATGGACCCCAGGTTAAGAACCCCTCCTTATGTACACTTGGGGTATTTCAATTGCCCTTGAGATTTTTAGGAAACAGACCATTCTTTCCAAAATTATGTTCCTGATAGACAAAATAAGGAATAATATTTGCATTATTCTTTACAAAAGGAGGGAGCTTGCCACACTCTCTCCATCTTTCCTGATGCACTCCTTTATTCAACTAATTCAAAATTTTCAAATTTTGGTCTAGTACCTTGAGGCAGGAAGAAATTAAAAGTAACCTTTAACCAAACAAAAAAAGCTCCCAACATCTATCCAAGGGGAGCCTGGGCACCGGTGGAAGTTAAACTATTTGTAAATAAATTGTTCTTCATGGAAAATACTCACTTGCATATATTCGAAGGACAAAATACTCCTCTGTTGCCAGAGGTTTGTTTTTTTTTTTACCCCCAAATCATATATTTTAAAATTATCATTTTGAATATATAAAACAAAAGCTGAAAGGTAAGAACTTCCAAGCCTTTGGGTTGTAGGCAATAAGAGGGATTTTCTGAGAGACTTCTATTGAGATGAGAGGATGGTAGAGAATATGGAAGCAAAGTCTCTGGTCGGCTCTGGAGGGCTGGGGTTATCCTAACACTGCATCAGAGGCCAATACAGAGTGCTCTCGCTCTGTCTCTCTCTCTCTCTGTCTCTCTCTGTCTCTCTCTGTGTCTGTATCTCTACCTTCTCACCGTTACTGTTTTGATCCGGAGAAATTACCTTATTGAAAAGTTCGTCATTCTGATTTGCTTTAAGACTTTAGTCTTATGTCCATATTTATTGTATTTCCTATTTCTGAAGTTGTATATTGGTTACCTCGTAGGTGAAATCCAAAATACCCTACAAAAGGTAAATATTCCTTTGGTAACAAATGAAGAATGCCAGGAAAGACTTAGAGATCATGAAATAACCAATCAGATGATCTGTGCTGGCCATAAAGAGGGAGGAAAAGACGCCTGCAAGGTAATGCCTTCAATTATGAAAAAACACACAATGGGCTACTTGAGAAAACCAATTTCAAAATATATTCTCCATTGTGTATTTCAGTATAGTTTTTAAAATAATTTAGAGCCAAATGATCTGATAATTTTCTAAGTAATCTTTAACAAACTGAATATATATATACACATATGTCACAATCTGTGCAGGGGCATGCTATATTTGAGAGGGGACAATTGTACATACAATAATTGTACTAAAATATAAGAGCGATAGGTTTATTTGACATTGAGATGACGATGTCAAAATTTTTTTGTTGGAATCAACAGAAAATGCAACCATACACCATTGAATTAAATCGTTTTCACCACATCCAACAACTAATTAGACACGAGATACCTAAAGAGCCATAAGAAATTATATGTGCATGGTGTGTGTGGTGTGTGTAGTGTGACTATAGGATTTTAAAGGCACGTCTGTCATAACTTTCTATCATTTTATTTTTCCACCCACTGCGACACAGGGAGATTCAGGTGGTCCTTTAGTTTGTAAACACAAGGGAACATGGCACTTGGTGGGCATCACCAGTTGGGGAGAAGGCTGTGCCCGCAGGGAACAACCAGGTGTCTACACCAGAGTTGCTGAGTACATAGACTGGATTTTAGAGAACACACAGCACCAAGATGGACAGTCTTTAATGAAGTCACGAGCATGAAGAAGCTTTTTAGAGGCACAGAAGAGCCCAGTTTGTAGCATAAGTTTTGCAATGTGGGTTCAATTCAAATACTGAGCCTTGGGGTCCTCGTCTGCAAAAATGTGGAGAGTGGACTCTACCTCGCGTCCTTGTCATAAGGCTAGAGTGAGATAATGCATACAGAGCTGCTGAGGGCAACGTCTTGCAGAGGCATGCTGTGAGCCTTCAGTAATAATGCTAATAATGGGCGATAACAACTGAAGATCTCCACAATTGTTTGTTGTGAAATAAAGAGTGTGATTAAAAGATGTTTTCTTCTGATTGTGAAACAGAACCCAGAAGATATCTGACTCCAGATCCTAGCACAGTGCATGGGATCATTCTAATCCTACCGCTTCCTCTGGAACTCACTGTATCTCAGAGATAATAATTTCTTCTGTGTGCCTTACCTGCATGGTCATTAAAGCCTACTGCTGCCAGCCTCGCTTGGGGTGAAGAGCCAATAAGCTTGGGTTTTGTTCTGTCAAGTGGAAGGGAAGACACCTATGTAATATTCACATTTCCAAGAAAGAGATGGGTTATCTGAACCTGGGTGAATAGTAGTGTACCTTTTCATTTTGGTCTCCCACCTTGGTTACCCTGACATTAGTGCAGGGCTCCAAGCTGGCCGTGTGGTTGTCTGGTTGTGGCTCATCGCACAGCCTTCTTGGAGGGCAAGGAATCTGCGTTGCTGGGGCTTCAATGCATGTTTGTTTCTGCAATAATAATTCAAGAAGCATTATTAGGTATAAAGTATTTCATAAAATTCAGTCTTGTAAATTTATGGTAGTAGGAAGTAGCCCTGAAGTGGATGATATAAATCCTTATATGACACAAATTTCAAACTTGACAGTGATTATCACAACTGATATCTGCTGGTTGGATTCGGTTCAGTTAAGCTGACTTAACATTTACACAGAAGTGACCATTTACAAAATATTGTGTAAATTAAGTAGAAAAATAGGACAGTGAAGTTTCTAAGAAAGACTGAGTTTTTCCTTCCATGCTAAAGACACACTGAGTGGCAGAATGTGCTAAAGATGGAGGGAATTGAAGGAAGACTGGTAGGTCTGGGTTATTCACAAACCATCCAACAGGAAAGAGAAGAGTTAAGAGTTTACTCCAGAAGTAAATTCTCCAGATTTTGTAAAATCTGACTGGATTCCATGAAATGATTAACAATAAACACAATTTCAACTTTTACTTTTGCGTGCAATAAAGATATTGGTCTTTGTTCTTGTGTGAGTGTTGTTTTATATTTAAAAGGGAGAAAAATGGTTTGCAATGAAAATCCTTTATCTCTAGCTTTTAGTGTTGTAATTTTAAAGGGTGTTTGAACAGGACTTTGGAGTGTTTTCAGGCTTTCGTTGGTTAGGAAATGACCTTGTTTGGGCAAAACTGAGACAAGAGTTTTGAAATGTGGAATTCCCCTGGGGTATAAATGGTCACTTTAAAGTTGCCAACTAGAACTAGTGGTACTGGAATTGTCTCTTTGTTTTTTATTTATTTTTTGCTAGGAAGGATTTGCTGAGCTAACATCTGTTGCCAATCTTCCTCTTTTTTTTTTTCCCTCCCCAAAGCCCTAGTACATAGTTGTATATCCTAGTTGTAGGTCCTTCTAGTTCTTCTAGGTGAGCCACCGCCACAGCACAGCTACTGACGTGACCGGAACCGAACCCGGGCCACTAAAGTGTAATGCACTGAACTTTAACCACTACGCCATCAGGGCTGGCTCTGAAATGGTCTTTTTATGACTCTCCATGTCTTCAAGTACAGGGGTGAACCGAGGTGCCCTTCATACAGGAAGAGCCTCATGGGACCGGGGGGTGTGTAACAGGCTAAGAAGGAAAGAGGTTTGAATGACTTTGCCCTCCCAAGGAAGAGGCAGGAGTCTCTGGGAGTGGCATCCAAGAGAGGGTGGTCGCAGCACCAAGCCTGGAAGCTATCACTGCTGTTCCCTATGACCTCAGCAAATGTCCATGTGGAATACACAACACACGTACACATCTGATAAAGGTTAGCCAAGGGCTCCAACATCTGTCTCATTCCTCACCAAGGTGTGAGAAACCCCTAATTTAAATTAAACTTCTTATTTTAATTATTATTTATCTCTTTCTGCTCACTAAACAGTGAGCCACTTTGAAGGAGGCTCTCTTTTATGCGTATGGCATGTAAATGGGCATTCAGCAAATGTCTAATGAATGAATACATCGTTATTCTAAAGATGGGGCAATGGAGTCTCAAAGAGGTAAAAAAGATTAGCTCAAGGTCACTGGCAAATACAGAGCCAGAATTAAGCTTTGCATTCATGTCCCAGATTATGGCCTATATCATGTTGCCTCATACTATGAGAAGGAGAAAAGATGACAGGAACATTTATAACCATCATTTGTTATTTTCATTATTGTCTAAGGCAGCAGTTCTCAACTGAAGACAATTTTACCCTCCACTCACACCCAAGGGGCATTTCACAACGTCTGGAGACATTTTTGGTCGTCATACTTGGGTGAGGGAGTGCTACCAGCATCTAGTGGGGAGAGGCCAGGGATGTTGCTAAACAGCCTACAGTGCCTGGGACAGCCCCCCACAACAAAGAATTATCTGGCCCAAATAATAATTCCAGGGTTCAGAGACCCTTATCTAAGGTTAGTATTAAAACCTTATAATGAAAAGGGACACATTTCAGGAACAGCAAGACAGGGGTTGTAGGACGTGGGAGGCTGTGCCCTTTTTCAAAGCAGGCCTTGATGAGAGAGAAGTTTCCAAGAGAAAGTTGACTGTGGCTGTGACTAAGAAGGGAGTCTCCACCAACAGTATGCATGGGTGGTTTTTTAGGTCACCAATGCTCCTAATTTCTGGTTTGCACTTGCGTCTCTATAGACTAAGTTCTGGATTCTTCCTGAGATTTTGTCTAGTAATTTCCCATTTTTATTAGGCTTCAAAAGCATTTTATTTCACTGGGGGGAAAAAGAACAACTTTACCTTTAAGATAAAAGTAGTTGACATCAGAATTCTAAACTGCGATGGTGTTAGTTGAAAAGAGTTTTCAGAATACTATCAGTTTGAAAGGAAGGTCTATTTAATCTCAAAGAGTTTCTATGCAGTTAAGACTCTTATTCCACTTTTATTTGAAAAGACAAAAGGATATTTGGAATCCTTATATTATTTCAAAGGCTTTAGAGACTTCACTAACTAGCTAAACCAAACTTGGGATAATATTATGTAGTTTCCCAGTGAAGTATTTTTCTCATTGGAGTCTTTCTATTTCTCTCAATAGAGTTGGAGAGTTGTCATTATAGTCTTTTTATTGGGGCTTTAGGATAGAGATGGGGTTTCATGGGTAAACAATACAGGGATGTAAGGACCTTATATAATTTCACATATCACTTTTCCATGAAAACCTGTTTTGGCATAAATTTGCCATTCTATGTTTGAGCTTCATAAAAAGCAGTATGTCATAAATATGCACTTTGTGTGTACTGGAATGTACTTAATTTTAAATGGAAAACTCAAGAAAGCAACTAAAGACTCTTTATGTCAAGATAGGTCATAAAACTGGCAATAGATCAAATAAAAATGTCTGAATACCTGCCTTCCAGATAGAATGTCGCAATAGTTCCTTATCACTTTGTACAAAGACCTCTTCTAAGTTCACATCCCTCTTAATTTTCTGCCCTATGGAACAAAATGCTGGCTTTTCTCTTCTCAAAAATTCTCCAATTAGTTTATATGGGGCTAATCTTCGAATTTACTTTTATTCACTGTCTCCTTCAGTAAGTTCTCTCTTTTTCCTCATATTTCCCTTTCTGTCAGAGTACTGAAAGGGCTGTCCAGTGTTTCTAATCTTGGGTCATTTTTCTCTGTAGGTTTTTGGCCACCAAGGACTGGGTATTCCACACCTTCAGAAACCATTCAGATAATGGCGACATTATTATGATAGACATAAGACTGTCACTCTTGGTCTCCAAACATTGAAATCCTCAAAGTAAACTGGTGACATTTTCTAGGTTTGGAAGATCACACTCATATTAGCACATCGTACCTGAACAAAGTATAATATTTCCTCTGGTACCTATACCTTCAGCAAGATCTCCAGGAGGGACAAATGTCATTTTATTTCTTCCCGCATCCTCAGAATATTTTTAAAACTTATGACTCCATTTATAAGCTAAGATCTTATTTGCCTTTCTATGGAAGATTAGGAGTCTTTTCTGAACCATAAAATTTTCTTTCTCTAAAATTTATTTAAATTAGGCATATTAAAAAGTGTGGGGTTTTTTTAGTTTATTTCTTTCAAGTTTCTAGGCGACCACGTAGAAATCCTTAGGGCTACTTAGTGTCGTCTAATGTTATCAGTGAGGAAACCGAGCCCAGAGAGAGAAAGCAACTTGGCTGAGGACTCACAGGTAGCTGGTTTACAGTGTGGGAGGCTGGTTTCTGCTCAAGTTATATGACTAGTAAACCAATGAATAGATCTGGGTAACAAAGGACACACATCACCATGCCTTCCACAGGGCTTTTAGCCCTTCTTCAAAGTCAATGGGAAAGCTCATAGAAATCTAATTAGGTGAAACCTGGAAAAATATTTCACAAGCTTTCCTCTCCATGAAATGCAAAAATTCCTACCATTAGGAGTTGCCCTCCAGGACAAAGGGAATTAACCTGCTGTTTTATGATTGCTTGTCATGAAACAGCTAGACATGTCACTTCCTAGGTCTCATTTGTGTCTCAGTGCGCCAAAATCCAAAGAAAGTTATGAAAGTCCCATATGTTTTTAAAAAAATTTAATTTAGACTTTCAGTGTTCAAGTGGGATAGTAAGGAGCTTGGCTCCTTAGAACTAATAGTATCTGCATAAGCCTCTGAGGAGGTGACATTGTACAAAGGGAAGCTGTGAATCTAGAAGAGTAGAGCACCTGTGGTCTGCCCTTGACTTTCTACCCACCACCCCAGCCCTGAATGGCGGAAGTTCTGCCCCTAGGTCATACTGCACATCAATAAGTCCATCAGACTTCCCTTGTTTTCTTTTTAGACTGTGAGACTCAAGTTAGGCTGGAATTAATGGTTAACAGCCGATGTTTGAAAGTGTGATTAAGAGCAGCTTTGGTTCACAGGCATGGTGAATGTTAGTTTGCCCAACCGCTAAGGCACACAGGCAAATTCAAGTTCTCTAGCTGTCTCTCTGTGTGTCCCCTGTTTACATACACAATAAAATAAGAGGAAAAATTTTAATGTGTTGAAAAAGCAAGCTAATCTACCAAGGAATATTTTTGACATGCAAGGATTTTAAGGACATTCACAGACATGCTGTACAAAGAGACGGTGTTACATAACAATGGGAACCAGTAAAAGTAAATATTAAAGTTAAGTGAACATTACCTGCACAAGCTTATTTAGAGGATGAAGACCATTTTG